ATACCATACCACTATGTACTCGTTGCCAAACCTGTTGAGAAGTTTCTCTTCTTCAAATATTTTTCTTTCCTCTTTAATATCTTTTCCATCAAACTGCAGCAGAATATTAATTGTTTATATCTCTATTGATGGTATTAGATGCAAAACTGTGATTTTCCAAAGAGCTAAAATTGAAGTGGAGAACACTTTTTTGCAAATGTGCATCACAGTAATCATTTTGCATGCTGGATTCCAAGAAATTGGAATATATTTTAGACTAGGTTTTTACTAATCAGACCATACCACTGAGCTTTCATTGTTAATCTCATCACTCTGGATTCTTGTGTTCCTTTTTTCTGTTTTGTTCAAATTAACCAATGTTTCTTCATCAAATTTCGTCCTTTCTTCATTTGATAACTGATAATAGCATTTCTCCCCATCATCTTTACTCTGCTTTAGATCCACCTGCCAAAGATGGTTCATTAGAGATCACCTCTTAACAGTTACAATTTCCTAGCTACAGAAAATTTAGATGCATATATTTTAACTAAAAACCCAACACCATCTAGCTTTACAAAACATATATACATATTAACTTATAAGGTGTTGACGGTTTGGTCCAGTACAAAGAATGGAGACGAAGTTGATAACTGTTTGAGAAAACCAAATTGTTTTAAAGAAATGCTTGAGTTTTTTTTTCTATGGAAAAAGTGTGGCTCTTTTTTTTCATGGAAAAAAAGGTTGGGTTTGGTTCTTAACCAGTTCGATTCAATTAAATTCTTTTGAGCACCTCTAATTTGTTTATGATTTGGTTCAACACAAAGAATTGAACTGAACCAGTAAATGATTCTTCTGAATTGAACTGAATTATTTTTAAAAATGGTGAGGTTCAGTTTTTTATAAAAATGATTCACTTTTTGTGCTTCGGTTTGGTTTAATTTTTTTTAAACTCCTGCTAATAACCAACAAACAACTACTATTGAAATTTGGCCACGGGAGAAGGAGTGAACTTACAAATGAATATCCTGCTACACAGTGACCAAGATGTCCAACCAAACTATGTATTGTGTCTGTCACATGTTAAATACTAAGAACATCAAATACAGAGCCTTGTATAGATAATGAAATGTTCAATGTTAGCCAAAACATAGAACAAAATATAAAAACACAGCCTCAAGAACTTTGACAGTAGATTGTAATTATAACTATAGTTCGCAGAATTACAGACAAAAAACTTCCTACGTGCCCACTAATATGACAAAAGGCATCATATTCATGTACAAGTTTTTCACTCCTAATCACAGTAATTTCTACCTTATTTTACTCCTACACACTGAGGTGATTTGCTTCTTAGGGACGTGCAAGAAGCATTATACCAAAAATATTATTGCTTATAAAGTTTATCAGCTATAACAAGTAACCGTGGCTAAGGAGGATAACTCAAGAAAAATATACCCTCCCTCCCACCATCACATCCACACCAACTGATAAAAATATATAACACAACCTATTTTCACATTGGTTTAATAAAACCATACAAATAATATCTCACAAGACCCACATCATGCACGAAAAATCTAAAAAGCAATTCATGGAACTACCTGTCAATAGATATTTCAACCCATCCCGAGATGATGTATCTGCAGTTTCTGCAATCCTAGTTAGATCCCTTTGTATTGAGCTTCCCTTCCCACCCGACATTGCAACCTTACACAAGACAGCAAAACAAAACTAAAAATAAACTCAAAACGGAAAACGCAAGGACCAATGACTGTGATAATGCATGCACTCTCAAACTTCATAACAATATCAGTTCAAACCAAAAATATCAAGCTAGTAAGTGACACAAAAACAAACATTATCCTAAATCTAAGTTCCAGCAAACATTTCTGCATTCTCAGCATAAAATTCATTATTAGTCATTGGAAGTAGTTGAAGAGGGATCAGAGCAACTCAAGTTACCAACCTGAAGCTTGAGCACAGTAACTGAATTTCCATTTTTGTTTTTATAGAATCCAAACAAAAACATAGCCAACATGAAGAATAGAAACAAGAAGGGCACTCCAGCGTGACCTCCCTTTGCATGCTCAGTGTCATTAGACTCGACATTATCACGATGATGCATCATTCTGTATGATTCTGAATCCCTAGTGTAAAATTCTGAGGACGAAGAATCTGAATCTGAATCAGAATCGAAGAAACTCCCTCCCATCACACCACCGGAGGAAGCCGAAGCCAAGTTAAGGTTGCAAGCCAACAAGAACAGCAAGAAGACAAACGAGGCAACAGCACTAGCAGCAACATATCTTCTCAACAAGGCCATTTGTCTTTCTAATACAATTCAAATTAAATCAAGTCCTGCATTCAATTAAACATGTTCAGTAGAGAACATTCATCGAAGATTAATTCTAATGAATAAAAATAAGGAAAACGATGCCCTTTATCTAGGCATATATATTGAGGGATGTCTAAGATTTCGTCGAGATAATAATGTGTAGAAGATTGAGAATCTCAAACCCCTTTCCATTCCAACAATTAATTGCAGAAACTTGTTATATCATCTCAAACAAGAGTCAAATGCAATATTAGTGGAAGCAGTTATCTTATGCACATCAACTCATCTTATATACACATAAATAGAATATAATTAATGACAATATAAATTGAAAATGCAAAATTCATATGCAATTCATAATCAATATGGAATCCATTACATATTTAAACACGAGATGAAAAGTAAATGAACAGATTTCGTCACCTTACAATATTATCAGAAGACTTTACCTAATGTCCAGTTTCCTACACACCTTGAGTTTGTAGAAGAACATTAATATCACAACACAACAAATCTAAAGAACTGAATTTGTGGAAATATATATGAGAATTGAAACTCTAATTTCAATTATCAAAAAATGGTTGTAAATTGTCGTCACAAAACACAAGGATGGACAATGGCGGTGAAGACAGAAAGGTGTAAGAATTGGTGAAGAACAAAACGCGAATGGCTATGTCGTTTTGGGCCGAGGAGAAATAGGATTATTGGGCCGATCCAGGAAGTATTGGTACCCGACCCGGATCCGTTTGAAGAGAAACGTTTCCATTTTTATGGTTCTTTTCTTTGACAAGAGTGTGTTGTGTTTCGGAAGTGTGAGAGAGAGAACAGCGATGGCGAGGCGAGGCGAGAATCGGAACGAGTCGTTGTTGACTCGGGCGATTGTGGCGGTCTTCGCCTTCGTGAGACACGCGGAGTTTGAGATCCTCTTTTTTCTTTTCTTCTTCATTGCTTATCTTCTCTTCAAAGACATCGTGAGTACCTTCTTGTCTTTGTTTTCCCACCACCCAATTTCCTCAAATTTTCGTTATTTTCTATGTGGTTAAATTGTCTATGGTTTCATAGGTTTTACCCTGTAATTAAAACTAGGCTCAAATTGTGACCTTTGGATCTCAATTTTGCTTCAAATTCAATATCTATGCAGGATTAGTGATCAATGTATTGGGAACTATGCGGACCCTGTTATTGATTTTTTTTTTGTACTTAATTAAATTATAATTCTCGTGAATGAATTATATGACTAAATATTTACCATATTGGTGTTGCCTTATTGATTCATGAAATAAAAAGGTTATTTTCCTTCGTATGGAGGTTTCGCTGAATAGATGCACATGTGGAAGAGATTTGTGGAATTTATCTGATCTTGTAAAGTTGTGTTTAGCTTGTTTTAACAAGTTTATTAGCGAAATTTCTCTTTTAAGCTTATTCCAACAAGTTTTATGATCAAATTTAAGATATATAAGTCCTCATGTGATGAGAGTTTATTGAACAAGTGCTTTTAACTAGGCTAGTTAGCTGAATGCATTCCTAAATGATCAGCGGTATGACACTTTTCTCCATCTGAATTCCATTCCTCTCTACCCCTTCTCCATTGATCACATATTCTGAGTTTTGGGAGAGTTATAATTTCTAACAATAACTGTTTGCTTCAATTGCAGACATCAAGGCCTGAATACAATCAATTGTTTGTAAAGAAGCCCGGTGGACCAGAATTTTGGCCTTTTTAGACGAGTTTGTTTGATCTGGTTGGATGTCTTTGTCCATAGAGGTATTCTTAGTACGCCATGCAGTAATTTGTGGATTTCCCTTTTGTATTTGTATCTAAATGTAACTTTGTATGTAAAACATGTGAGACTAAAAAGTTTGTACAATTTTATGTTCCAGTTAGTTATAGCAACGTTAAGTATACAGGTTTGCTTTTATATTGCTGTCTCTTTATATCTCATTTCTTTTTCATTCGATGTCTCCTTCCTGTAGTCTAGGATGGAATTGCTGTGCTCAACTATCTCAAATCTGGTTTACGGTTTAGTTCATATGTTCCTTAATCCTTATCATGGATTAGGTGACATATCTTGGAATTTGTTCTGTTGCTTCAACGCATCAGTTTCATCGTTTTCTAATTTCTTCTAGAGTAGAATTTGAAAGATTACTTTTGATTTTTAGGGCAGGTAATCGAACCAATAGAGATCATATTTGGTTTATTTATGCTGCTTCACAGCTTTTTATTGATTGGTTTAAATCTGGATCTGAGTTTCTTAAATAAATAAAACACAAAGAGATCATGTTAACCATTTCTTTTACTTCATCTATAATGTATTATTCATTATAAAAAATGTCTACCTAACATATTAATAATGGAGATTTGTTAGAAGTTTTCATTTCCATTTGTTTGTTTATCCAATTAGAAGAGGCAAATACAAATATTGTTTATTAGTTTATCTATCCTGACGAAGCAAGAGCACTCCTTTGCTAGAAAATAATATCAACTGATTTCATTTTCTACCCCATTCCTTTCCTCATATGAACAAGTGACACGAGCAAGGTGATTTCAATCATTTTAATAGCAAACCATAGAAGTTAATAATTGTCGTTTTTCCTTAGATGACTCTTTGTACCAAAAGACAATAAATACTTAGTCAAATGCAAATACTTCATACTAATCCATACCACGCGACTAAGACTTGTAAGAGAACAAGTTTGAATTTATGTCGAAATTTTTTGGGATCAAAAAATTGTGAGATAACTTTTTACAAAAAATTTGTTGTAACAAGGGAAAGAGAAACAGTGTATATCATTTTCTAATTTTTCCTGGCATCCTCCAATAAACAAATAATTCCAGAATGGACAAGTTAACTCCTGCTTTTTAACCTGTAAATATTTAACTTAGTAATTTTCATAACATAATCAAACTACCCATAACACACCACAGTTTTGTATAAACCTCTATCTAGATTATAGTCAATCTTCCTTGCATAATAATTCAGTTATACTCTCCACTGGAACTTTAACTGCATCACTGCGTACTCCAATATCAGAAACATATCTGCTAACACAATACATTCCACATCCTACCAATGCAAGGCCACCAAAGCCAGAGGCCATGAATCTCAGTGGTGAAGAAACTACAGCACTAGCACCAGCCAAGCAAGATGCTGCTTGTCCACTCCGCCCTACACCGATGTTTGTAACAACAAGCAAACCTGTTTTGCAGTAAATTGCAAAGTCTTCACAGTTATTCTTGAACACATTGTAGCCACCAAATCCATTCTCAAGAAGAAACAAAGCACGGTGAACAACATCTTCAGTTGGATCAGAAGATGCAATGGTACAAGTGCCTCCTCTAGCTTCGGCTAGAAAAAGTGCAGGTGACACACCATATTCAAATAAGTATAGATCATACCCAGAGAGAAAACAATCTAAGCAGGAACAAATGACACCATCACTTCTCTTTTGGTCACCACATTTTGGACATAAAATATCACAAGTATTATGAAGGGGTGATGAACTTGTAAAAAGACGGTCCAAGATTGTCCCTGTTCCAGTTTCTTGGGCTGATCCTCTTGTGAAGTGGATCACCATTCCCTCTCCAACATATATTCCTGAAATCTTACAAATTCAGTGACAACATAAATCCATCAAGATAAACACCTGAATATGAATACATTTGTAGATAAACCTAAAAGTGTTAGACATTAGAGAGAATAAACAAAGGAGAAAAGAGATGACCATGATGGGCATAGATGTAAGCCTGCCTCCATGAGTAAATGTGATCTCCTGGTTTCAATTGATCCCTGTCAATCTTATTGGAAAGCACTCCCATTTCCCTCAGATTACTGGTTAACAAAGCATGCCAAAAACTGCTAGATTATCAGAATTATGTGTGTTCTTTGTAGAGGTGAAGAATGGAAAAAGAAAGGAATGAAGTGATAATAAATACGAATAAGAATCAGGTTCTTGAATTCCAACCGAAGGAACCGACTCCTTGGCTTCTGCACCTTCCACTTTAATTTCACACTTACCTACGCTCTATAGTTATTATGTTCAATGCTGTTTCGCATTCTATATTTTTCTCGGTGGGAAAATATTTTGTACATATATTTAAAATATCTGCATATATTTTTAAAGCCGAGTAACAGAAAATATAAACCAATATTAAAATATTGTTATCTGAAAAAAATAAATATCCATGAATATTAATTATTTGTCGCTGTTTTCATTAGCTGTAAGTACATATTTTTTTGCCCTTAAGATTCTCTCATTTTCTATTGTTACCGTGAATGCACTCACTAAACTACTGATAATATATTATTATTTGATTTTTTTTAAATTATGATAAATGTTATTATAAATATTTTTATATTTAAATTTACCATACTATTTGTAAATATGTAATGTTTTATTTATTTTATTAATATTAATCGATTAAGTTATTTTTCTTTAATTTATATATAGAATCGGACCTAGTAAAAAAAGAAAACAATTAGACTAAAAATTTATGAGTTTGATTTTATATTTTTAAAGATTTGAAATTAGTATCTTTAGTTCTTGTAAAATAAATAAATTTTCATTTTAATGTCTACAAAACATGTGTTCTTATTCTTCTAAAGTTTTAAATCAATATTTTTATTCATAAAATTTATTTTGAAAAGGATGAATATCATTTGCTTTAGAATTTTTTTTTAAAAAAAATTAGAGGTATATATCACATGTTCACCTTCTATTACAAACAATATATATAGTTATTTGACCTTTGGTAGTACAAATAATTAAGTAATGATATATAATATTAGATATCAAAATAATTATTTTCAATTTTAAATAAAAAGGAAATAGAAAAACTATAGAAGTTAAAATCAAAACTTAAAATGATATCAATATTTACTACACTCATATTAGCAAAATAGTAAGTTTACTATTTACCTCATGCCAACTCGAGCCAAATACTTACTGGTAATTTTTTTAAAATAATAAATACATGTCAATTCAGTTTCTAAATATATTATTTTATTCACTAAATTTATTAAATATCAATATTTTAGTCCTGTTTGCATCATTTTGAGACTGAGAAAAAAATAATCATTTTAATCAACTTGTGTTTGTCTAACTTCCAGCTTAGCAAACAATTGAAATATTACATTTTGATTTTAAGAAGCTAGAATTAATAACAAGGGTTATAAACCAAAAATCTGGGTATTAATACTTTTATGTTACTTTCTGTTTAAACTTTATATTTCCTATTTATTATTATAAGTTCAAATATCTCCATACACTCTTATCCAATTTTTAGTATTTAAAATAAATAATATATACTTTTTGCAATGACAATTTGTTTCTTATTGTATTAGTTAAATTGAAACATTTATTATTATACTCTCCATGTTATGGTTTCGTCTTTATTCATTTATCTCATAGATCTATGTATATTAACACCTTTCGATTGCTTTCATTATAAACATAAACATTGACTTTAGTAACATGTTAATGATTGAAATTCTTTGCTGGAAGAGAATTTTCGTCATTGTTCATTACTTTTCTCTACGTTGGCCTCATTTTCTGCCTCCTCCGGATGTTAGAAGATTAACTTTGCATATTAAACTCTTTCCAAGCAATTCAAGTTTCATCATAAACGTTGTAATGAGGTAAAAACAACTCATAGGAGAATGATATATACATATTTTTTTACAATATGTTAATACTTGAGCACAATAACAAATAAATAATAAACAATAATAAAATAATATATGTATGTTGTGTTAAAATATTGTAAAAAAAATTATTTTTACCAACCCATTTAGGGTAGTTATGATATTTTAATGGGTTTTTGGAAGAAATTTATTGTAAAGATTCAACGTTAAACCCACCTAAGAGAATGTGTGTATGAAAAATATTTTAGAACAAAAATCAAACTTTTTAAAAATCATAGGCAACAGAGTTGTCATTGCATTGTCCAACATCATGTGATCTTAACCAATCTCTATGTGATATACTATCAGTTTTCCCTGTGATTACATATTATGTAAATACTGATTTAGACCACATAATCTAGACCATGTAATAACTTCTCCAGACCATGCAACAATTTCTTGCATCCAATCTTCTTTGGCCACCTCATGAATCCTCTCTACCGAAACTTTTGATACATCACAGCGTACTCCAATATCAGAAACATATCTGCTAACACAATACATGCCACATCCAACCAAAGCAAGACCACACAAGCTAGTGGTCATAAACACAAGTGATGAAGAAACCAAGGCACCGGCAGCAGCTAATACAGATGTTGCTTGTCCACTTTGCCCTACGCTGATGTTTGTGACTACAAGCAAGCCTGTTTTGCAGTACATTGCAAAGTCTTCACAGTTATTCTTGAACAAATGGTAGCCACCAAAACCAGCCTTGAGAAGAAACAAAGCACGGACAAGAACAGCCTCAGTTGGATCAGAAGATGCAGTGGTGCAAGTTCCCCCTCTAGCTTTGGCTAGAAAATATGCAGATGAGACACCATACTCAAACAAGTATAGATATCCACCTCGAAGAAAACACTCCAAGCAGGTTCTAGTGACTCCCTCGGTCTTTATTTTGTAACCACATCTAGGGCATCCTGTCTCACGAGTATCACGATGAACTCGCTTCAAGACTGTTCCTGTTCCTGTTCCTGTTCCAGTTTCTTGTGTTGCTCCTCTTGTGAAGTGGATCACCATTCCCATACCAACATATATTCCTGCAATCTTACCAACTTAACATTTAAGAAAACATGAACGGTTTTTACATGCAGAAACGTAAAAGTGTAAGATCAAATGATTGAAGAGTAGGAGAAAAGAGAAGACCGTGATGGGCAATGATGTATGCCTGCCTCCAAGAGTAAATGTGATCGCCGGGTTTCAAGTGTTCTCTGTCAATTTTATTGGAAAACACTCCCATTTTCTCTTATTGATTACTCAGTATGTCAAAGATTAAAAAATCAAAACTACAGACAAAAATTTGTGATGCAAATATCAGTGACGAGTTTCGTCACTAATATTTGATCACTTATTACTGATTTCTCCTAACTAGATTATCACATTCAGATCCTATTTTGTGTTTTCTAAAGTTGAAGAATGAGGAACTGGGTAGAATAAGAAAGGAATGAAATATATATATATATATATATATATATATATATATATATATATATATATATATATATAGAACTCTGTGCTCTGCTTCAACACCTTCGTTTCACTTTCTTCAATTTGACATTCACCGCCTCCTTCCAATATTTTATTAATATTTAACGTCAATGATGAGTATATAAGAGCTTCTTATAGTGAACGAAAGGATACAATATTAAAATAAGCTAAATAAATAAATAAGAAGCTATATGTGTGAAATTAGACAAAAGCATGATAAGTTTGATGGATATGAAGTATTACATTATATTAAAAATATAATTGTTTAATATGTCGTTATTTATATATATACTAAAATACTTGTGATGATTTTATGGCATAAAATTACTATCTTTTATGGCATAAATATTACTAAAACATACTTTATTCCTCCCAGCAAACCAGTCACACTGTAATTGATTTCCACTTCTTATAACCTAACACACAACGCTAAGTTCATTTTATAAATTATTTTCTAAACAGCTATCTAGTAAAACTTCAAAATATATATAGTAATAATAACAATAAAAAATATGTTCTTAATTAAACATCCCTTTAACGTGTGTTTAGATTTGGATTATGATTTGAAAGAGAGTGAGTAAATAAATTTGAGGAAATAAAAAAATTATTGTGATATTATTTGGATTTTAAATAAAAAATAATGTGATTTAAGTGGATTTAAAATAAATGTTAGTTAGAGTTGATGTATGATGTATGATAAATTAAAAAAATGTTTTAATAGATAAAATTAGACGATTATCATTTTACTTTTGAGAATAAATGTGGTAAATTAAATGTAATTATTATTATTATTATTATTTAACAATTTGCTAATTTCTTTCTGTGTAAAAATGAATTTTAAAATTTATTGAATATTTACCGCTTGAATTGTTCTCTCTGATGGATATAATTTGATTATAGTATAGTAATTGGATTATTCAGCTTGATTATAAAATACTTAAATTAAACACAATATCCTCACAACAATCTCCTACATCATTATCACTATACTAAGAAACACCATCTAAGGACCAGTACGTTTCTACTATCACATGTCCACTACAATCACCACCACATACCGTCCACCACCCTTTGTTCTCTATAATTTGAAAATTAAGAAAAGAAAAAAGAAAATGGACAATCATATAAAATAACATTGATGAATAATAAAGTTGATTGAGACATGGTTAAGGTGAAGTTGATCCCCAAACTATAAATTAGTTTATTTTTAATACATTTTCAGTTATTTTTTTTATTTGTTTTATAATTTTTCTAACATTTTTTAAGTTTTGCATGATATTGATATTTTTTTTTCTTCTTCACTCAAAAACATCTTTCAAAAATGTTAAATACTTAAGAAAAATTATAGTTTTAAAAATTTTATTACACAATAATAATCTGATAAAAAATATACGTTTGATATAAATTAGTATAATGATTATATTTTATAAATTTTGAAAAAAGAAGGTAATTTATATTTATTTCTAATCATGAAAATTATTATTCCTAAAGAATAGATAAATATTGGTTTTATAAAATGTTATTTCAAATAATTTTTTTAATAGTAATCATATTTTAGATATATAATTTCATTACTTTAAAAAATTTAAAATTTAATACAGGTTGAATTTGTTTAAGCTAAAGATAAAATAATTTTGAAAGAAAGAAAAACGTTTAAAACAAGTCATTCAAAAATTACTTATATTTGAATATAATAGTAAAAACACATTTTTTTAATCCTTTCACGTTTTGAAAGTTTTTTATTTTGATAAATTATTTAAAAAATATTATATATTAATGGACTTTTAACAAAATTTTAGTTTTGACATCTAAAATATAATAAATATATTTTAATCTAAAAATAAATTATTTTTTCTCAAAAAGAATCATCCATAAAAAAAATTATTATTTTTATAAATCAGTGCTAATATAATATAAAAATTGAATAAAAATACACACAATTTCATAAAATTAAAAAAAAAACTAAATATTAATACAATGGCATAATTTGATTTAAAAATATATAACTAGATTTTAATAAGAGAATTTGTTTTAAATATTATTAGAAATAAAATGTTAACATGTTAAAAGAAAATCATACATATATTTCCATTTATAAAATTTTATAGATATTTGACGTTGTTGTTGACTGTTTTTAATATAGAATTTTTTGGTTAAGTGGATTGTTTTGATCCAATCCATGTAAGTTAGAATCTATCAGATGGACTAATTTAACTGATCTATTTTTCATATATATAAATATTATTTTTCTGTTTTCTTTAATAAATTCATTCTTTCATATCATCTCAAATCCACTCAAACCAATACTTGTTATTTTGTCTGGGAAAAAAGTTTATCTACAAGAACAAAAACAGTGTAAGTTAATAGGAGAATTAAAATATGTAGTTTCGCTTGGTGATGACTTAAATTGAATAGAGACTAAAGAGTGTGCTTGCTTATTATGCTTTTATTATATGATAATTATGTTGCAAATTTAATTATGAGCTATTTAAATAAAAAAAATCAAATTTTGATGAGTTTTTATCATAAACCCTGTTGTAAAAAATTAAGCTAGTTAACCAATAATTTATTATTATTATTATTACAAATCATATCATATAACTTAATGTTCTGTGTATTTTGACAAAATACTTTTTCTTTTAATTAATTACTTGACTCATAACCTAAAAACAATTTTTTTTTCTTTGTTAATTTAAGGCAGGGGAAAATTGTGTATGTAACTGACATAATTAACCATGATATTATTAATAAATTGAGCTTCTAAAGTTGGTGATATATGATAATGCAGCTATTCAAAATATCTCATTGTAGGAGACCAAGCATTAAGATAGATGCATTGGAAATTTAGACATGGTTGTGGGTCTTATAATGTTGAACTGTCTGCCATTTTATCATGGAAAATCTTAGAAACCCCAACCACCGTATTCATAGGATATTGAATGCTCCTTTGGAATTTTAGTATCTCACATTACTTATATTCATTTGACATGTTTATGACTTGTATACATGTTTTTTCTTAAGAGAGTAAAAAGTAAATGTAAAGTTTGTCAAAGTAATGTTTTTCAATTTCAACATAATCTGTATTCCCTAAATGTACTCGTTAGTGGAATATGCTTGTAAGATGTTTTTTGGCTTTTTCAAATAAAATGTCTACTTATTTTTGTTTAAATAGTCTATAAAAGGAATAGATCTGCCCAATTTAAAATATATCTCTCAAAAGTAAAACAAACTAACTAAATCTTTTAAGATTTAACTCGTCACTCAAATAAACTTTAACTCTACCCTATTCATTTTCAAAAGCAATTATTATAATTTAAAAAATATTTTTTTTAATATACATATATATATATATATTATTTTTTCCCTCTCTCTATCTTTCTCCTAATTTATATTCTTTATTCTTTTTCAACATCTATTTTTCTTCCATCTATCAAACAAAAACATTAAATCTAATATTTTTATTTGCGTTCACTATATTGTTTTTATCATTTTTTAATTATTTACTCTCTATCAACACATCAAATTGCGTAGTAATTAATTACCAATTAGTTTGTCATTGGAATCTACCATATATTTTTAAAAAAATGTTTAATGTTAATGAATAAATTAGCAATTTCTATTTTTTAAGAGTTAGTCAATTAAATTTTATTAAAATAGAAAAGAATCAAAGTATTTTTTTTATTTCAAAAAGGGTAATTTAATGTGTAATTAATTACTATTTGACTTGTTATTGGAACCTACACCATTAGGAAACTCACACCATACCACCTTCGTCTTTCGTTTTTTTAATTTCTTTTCTTATCTTTTTCCATTCCCCTCTTCTTCTCCCTCACACCAATATCTCTTCCCATTTTCTCTTCCAATTCCAATTTTTCGTCCCTCATGGCCCGTGTCGCGATCGCCGTCCTTTTCGTAGCCGCCGTCATCCTCGCCCTCTCCGCTACCTCCGTGACGGCGCGTCCTTGCAGGACCTTCATAATCTCCTCCTACTCCTTCCGCAACCCTAACTCCAACACCTTCGCCACCATCACCGAGATCCGATCCTTCACTCCTATTTTCATCACCGACAAACGTTCTTCCTACGACGTTTTCTTCCCCCACGCGCTCCCACAGCAGGAGCGCGTCAACCCACGCGCCCCTCTAGGGTTTGCCTCCGCGTATGACTTCTCCTCCCTCCGCGACCGCACCAAAGACATCCTTAGCGTCGCCCTCGCGCTTCTCTTCGGTGTAGGCTGCGGAGCCCTCACCGCCGCTACCATGTACCTCGTCTGGTCTGTTTTCCCTATACGCCACCACGCTGCGGCCTACGACGACTTCTCCTCAGACGAAGAGATCGATAGCCCCAAAAAGTTAGGATACGTCAATATTCCCGCCCCGGAGACCGTTGCCGCCGCTCCAACGCTTGCGAAAGGCTCAGTATAAAATCCCCGAATGTTGAGATTGGGGATATCTCTTGGTAACCGTGTGGTTGATGTTGGTTGTTAATAATTATAGGTGAATTGAACAGAGAAAGTATCGAATGGTGCGAACTTTGGCCATGTATTTGTGTCTGCTTATTCTATGTTACATGTTTACTTTTGAATTTGGTGTATTTGCGTTGTTTTATTTCTAACTGGCGAGCCATGGTGTTTTTGGCGTTAATCATTGCCTTGGATATGGAACTAGTCGTCATATATAGTAGTATTTATGTATTTACTCACGGGTTTTATTTGGAAGCGTTGTTTTTCATCATTATCTTTTATGCAGGTTCTGCTGATTTGTGATTGCTAATCTCAATTTTGGGTGTCTCTGGGTGAATGTTGCATAATTTACTCAGGGTCAGCTTCTCTATAATTGATTTTGAATGAAAATGATTCTGTTTGTAATTGATTTTGTCTTGAAATCTGGGGAAAGGGGTTAAAATCTGAGTTTAATGTGCTATGGTATGACATTGTTGAGTTAGTTTGATTTAGAATGATTCAACGCGATCTATTGTTGTTTCAATGTGATTTTGGATGACTAAGCGAGAATTCTGTGTAGAGGTTTTGGTCTGATCTGGTATATAATATTGTTGGGGTTCATTGGGTTCTTGTTTTCTTCCGTGAGCTTCTTCTGCATCATTTTGCATCTATGGAATGATCTGTGATTTTGTATTTCTGTATTAATATTGTTGAAATCATGGAGCTTCTAAATTCTAAAGTATTTTGTGAATGTTGACTCTTGTTGGTATTGCTAAACTAATTGAATCTTCTAAATCGATTAACTCAGAGAATTTGCACATTGGGGCTTAAGTTAGTACTTTGTTGTGTTCAGTATTCGCGCCCAGTCAGATTGCAGTATGATAATGTTTACTAAGAAGGAATTTAGAATAACTGTGGCTGTATTTTTGCCTTGCACGTATCCAGTTTTGCTGAATAGTTTGTGTCAATATCAGCATCTTGAGAATAATGCAAGCAATATTGTTTTTAGTTTTGGTTATCGTAGTAAAGAGGAAAACTGCAGCCTTGTGTGATGTTATTGTTGTTACTCCGTCCTTTCCAACAAATGAAAAATCAGTGAAATTTTGGGTTTGTAAGGTGTTTGTGCTTCATCTTCGGATTTCTGCCAGACTTGGAATTAAAGTGGTAAAGCAGAAAGTGGAAAAGAAATGAAAAGAAAAGAGAAGTAGAGTTAAAAGTAAAGTTAACTGGATTATACTAAACTGAGTAAAAATTACTTTAATAAAAGGGAGAAAGATATCCATAATTGATTGACTGACATATAAATTATTATGCTGATTTTCAAACAAACGTGTTTAGAATCTTTGTAATATAATCGTTTATGCTGATAAACATGATATATTATGTAGTTATTGTCGACTATGTGTTTTACTTTTCTATTTTGAGTGATATTTAGTATGTCTCTCTCGTTTTAAGTATATTCCGAGCCTTTCAGCTGAAGCAAACCTAGGTTTCAGTACATTCCATGCCCTTCCTTCTTACATCAACACCAAGGCTTAGAGAAGGGTCATTGTCCTATGAGGCTCCACAGAAACTCAATACATGAAAAATTGTTGGACTCAATGCCGCATTCAGTTTTAATATAGGAGTTTGCTGATTTCAAAAGATTTAAACCCCTTTTCAGAAGCTATTATATATAAGCAGATAAATTAATGGTAATTCGATTTTTTATTTAATCAGAAAAAAAAATTCCGTTGCCGGGACTTGAACCCGGGTCTCTCGGGTGAGAGCCGAGTATCCTAACCAACTAGACTACAACGGAGATCTTTGAAACTAAAGCTTCTATTATAATTTACCTAACTTTTAATTTCTGTTCCATTTTTTCTTTCTTTCCATCAAAACAATACTTTTATTTTTACTTATTTTAAGTCATTTATTAACTTACGAAGGAAATTAAATTCATGTCACTGACTCTTCAATACGGAAAGCAAATTATTATAAATTAAACTAAAATATTTTTCTTAAAGCGAAATTGTAATATTATATTCTTATTTCAATTTTAATGATTTTTATGAATTAAATTTTTCTTAACAGAAAGGTGATAAATAATAGAAACCATGATTTAGTCTTATAATAAATAAAAAGTAAAGGGGTAAGTTGCATAACTTTCTAAGGTTTTTTTAATTTTTATTTAAAATTTTAACTTAGCTAGTCAATTTGTTTAAGGGTAAAAGTGATTTAAAAGAGCTGAAATAAAACATTTTATGTTTTGAATTAAAAGCTTATAAATAAAAACACATTTAAATTACTTGTTAAGTTATTTCATATTTTTCCATATTTACAATGGTAACTTTCTTTACAAGGATTCCCATTGCAATATCTTTGCATATACATTTAAGAGGGTTAACGCAAAAAAGAAGTTAGTTTAACATTTTTAAGTAATTGAGATAAGTATGAAGATAAAAAAAAATACATGTTCTTATGTATTGCAGAACTTCAAAATGTTTACTTTAATTTACTCTTGCATTCACTTATTTCCTCCTGAATATTATTGTTTTGTTTAATTTCCTGTCAACGACTTCCTATCAGTCATCATAAGCACTAACTTTCGCAAAAAAAACTTTAGTACCCAGAAATTGCGATATGCCATAATCCAAACCCGAATACAGAAAAATATTTAGTTTTCACATTTTATCACAAATCCACCGATAAAATATAGCCAGTAAGTATTGAGTAGGAAGTAACTATTTAGAAAAAAAATTATTAAAAGGTTCAAATATTTGTGAGAAACTAAACCCTGCAAAAACAATACGTTGCAACAGCATAGTAGCACTTTAGAGACATCTCAATGGTATATGGTAGATGATGATTTTGACAACAATATAATAAAATACTACTCATACAAATGCCATTGTAGAATACATAGACAGTTCAAGCATAAACAGCCTTCTCTAGTTTCCTATATAGAGTACATTAGTTCATGCAGAAGTTTAATCAAATATTATGCTAAAATAATAGCAGCAACACTAACTCTAGCTTGCAGTGCCCCATGTTCAATTGGCACACAAGCATGTCCTAAGTTTTTTCATCATAAATATATATTTTCTTCAATGCTGATAGAAACAATAAAAGGTGGTGAAATGGGGGAACTGATCCTACACAAGATATTCCAACCAAAGCAATAAACATGCACAGAAATTCTCTAGACCATGGAGCCTAGAGGAATACATGTTTCAATTATCTCAGTATTCAAGTGAGCCAATTGATGGTGGTCCAGAAACAATGTCCTGAGACTCAGCACCAGTGCCATTGAGCCTTTGTCCTGAACCTAGAGCAAGGGATTCCACTGCTTGTTCCCCCATTTTCTGAATGTCTTCAGGTGAAAGTATTTTGATATACCAAACATTATTCACGAATGATCTGCAAGAAGTAAAACACACACCATTGAAGAAAGGGCTAATGAACATAACCCAAGTGAAATGAAACATTTCAATCTCAATGCTAGCTCATTGAGTAAAAAAGTAGCACAAATGAAACTGGTACTTACTCCCACGGATCGTCTCCAAGGAGAAGAACATCGTTCTCCCTGTCAACGAACACAAGCTGCCAGCCTGATCTAGGAGGGTCTTCCAACTTGCCCTCAATTCCAAACATCTGAGCCAACTCCTCACGCAGTTCATGATAGCTGCTGAACCGGGATATGTCAAGTGAGCGCCCAACAGACCCTGATTTGTATACCTGTTAAATGATAAAATTAAACACCTCGTTTAGATATAAGAAAATCATACTTGAAAAGGCCAAAGAATACTTGAAAATCATACCTTCACAAAGGTTTGAGTCTGGTTTTGTGGATCAACATGCCCTGCGCTTTGCAACAACTCTGACGAATCTTGCATGCAACCAAACAGAGAACCCTGGAAACCAGACTCCCCTAATGGCATTGTTGATGAATTAGTATCCGCAGATGAGGTGCTGTAACCAGGGACTGTGGTGGGAAGAAGAAGGCCAGATGAATCAATATTGACACCAAATAGAGTTGAATTTTGGGCATCTGAGTTAAGATGTGGTAGCACCATTGCAGAATCTTTTCCAGAATATTGTGTCTGCGACACAGTGCTTCCATAAGCATTGACCTGCACAGGTGCATACTTTTGAGTCCATTGCTGTTCACTCAGCAAGGACGGACCACTCCTTGATAAATTCAAGAGATTTCCACTTCCTTCAGGACAAAGTGAACTAAGCATGTTTTGTCCAGGAGAAACTGAAACAGGGAACTTCATGCTCGAATCCAAGAAATCTGGTTTTGAATACGATGGTGAAGGAACGCCAGAGTGTTGTCTCTGATGGAGCTGATCACTTGGAATTAAGAGCGATTCTTGATAAGAATGCTGCTGCTGTTGCGCTTGGACTTCTTGATTGTTGTGCGGTTTCTGAAGTAGGTGCTGAGAGAGGTTCTCTGTCAGTACATGGGCTTGTGGCTGCAGCATGTTAGAAGATACAGATTGTTGAACTGATTGCTGCGACTGAAGTTGCAAAGGAGAATTGCTGTTTCCTGATTGCTGAAGATAGTGGAAAGGCTGTTGAAAATTCATCATTTGTTGCTTCATGAGATATCCACTGCCTAGATTCTGCAACCCAGCTGCCAACATGGCTTGGTACTGTTGATTCTGATCACTTCCTAGTAAAGTGGGATCCATTCTCTGCTGCATCCAGGGCAACATACCAGCTCCTTGAAAATTTAGCGAATTGAGACCTTGGTCTACAGCTCCACCCCTCAGCCACATCAGCCCATTACTTGCTTCATCTCTACCATCTGTAACAAGATTTAGTAAAGAAAGGTCACAAAAAGTAGATTCTCAAATCAACTGTCATTTGCTAGGAAAGATAAGGGATGAATGAGACCACAACACCATATTTAGGATACTTGCTTTTTAGATCACTAGGAATAATTTCATTTTTGTAAAATTTTAAAATTTCCAGTTACATAATGTCCAATGCCAATTCATGCCCCGTTAAAGTCCAAAAAAATTATTTCTTGACTGTTTTGGGAGGATATTTATTCATGCACCTTGTCACCCTCCTTTTGGAGATAAAATCTCCTTTCATTAAAAAAGCAAGTCGTATCTCACTAACAATCTAGTGGGTAGTCAGAACAAAGTCTTCAAAAGAATAAACCATTTAGAGAATAAAAATACCATGCAGAGATGAGGAGCCAGGATGCCATGGACGTTTCAGTCTAAGGGGAAATAATGACGGGTACATAGGGAATGTTGTTAATGGCTCAATTTCCCACAGAGACACTCGTGGTTGTCTCTCCCCAGCTGTTGATTCATCCCAACCAACCTAGCACAGCAGAACAAAAATCAAGCAACATCAATTATTTTAAAACATGTAATGAAATCAAGTACTGATACTTTTAAAATGGTATTGTCATAGAGCGGTCTTTGTTACAATCACAGATGACCATTTGATGCTTAAGCATAACATTCCCTTATTTATGTAGAAGTAGTAGTAGTAATAAAAGGAATCAGGAGAAAAACACATGATAAGAAAGAATGAGAAATAAGCTAGATTTGAGTCTATTGTTCCCTTCCCTCTGAATCGATCAAGCAACACAAAAACTACAATGGCTTTTCAAAACCAAATTAAGTTGTTCATAGCTTTCAACTGACCCCTTTCTTAATTGAACGTTCATTTGTCAAAGTCGTAACAGAAGCCTATGATTGATAGTATACTTCTTTTTTCTTTCATTTAATGGCGGATAGGCTAGGAGGAACCACACAAATTAAATTCAATATTCAATATTTCATAAGCTCTGATGCAACGAAGGGTTATTTCAGGTGCTAGATGAAGGGAAACTAGTACTGCAAAAAGGATGGAGGCAATACTACAGACACTGCAATAAAACTTAAGGTTGATAAGAATAAAATACCAAGTTCATGAAACAGGACTAGATATTATAATTAAATCTGGTCAGATATCTAAAATGACTGCATCCTTATGCAGTGTATTTATCAAAGGAGTATTGTGAATGTCATTACTGCTATATAGTCTTTTGACTACAGTGCAATGTTTTCTTCCTTACCTTGACAGAGCGCCAGTGAGAATTCGGCCACCGAACAGAATCCAAATCACTTATGCCAGTTATTGTACCCATGTACCTTCAAAAACAAAGATGACACACTGATAAGTAAATGAAGCAATTGTATGGCACAGCATTGATAATATTTTTCTACTGGTCTTCACAGTCTTCAGATTAAAACCCCAGGTTTTTTGGATTATGTTCCAAAATAAAGATAATAAAATAAAATAAAAAGTAAACTTCAAGACAAACAGTACGATACCAGAATCCCCAAATTTAGCAGTTGACATATCCTTTCTTCAGATTGCAGCTGCTAAAGTTTTATCTCTCACATTCTAAATAAGGGCTAGCCAACTATGCAATAGATCTATATGATTTTTCTCACCATGTCATTTCCTACACAGCTTTTAGAACTGGGCAAGACTAAAATTACTGACTGGTACACCACGAAACTTGTATCCAACCATTCTATACACGCAAAATATCACCCTCATTATAGGCAAAGGCAAGCTATTACTATTTTTATTTATTTAAAAGGCACAGATTCTGTATCATAAGTATGTCTATCTATGAAAAATACAATTAACTGGTCTAAGAGTCAAAAGAAACGTCTCTAGATTTTCAAGAGCAAAAATACTATTGTTTCTTAAGGAAAAATAAAATCTACTGATGTGTACCTGCGGACACTTGATTCTTCAGTCTCGAAAAGCATCCTGAAACGCATACCAACAGAAATACGTGTATGGTACACAGCTTTGATATACTTTGAAAGTGGTATGACGAACTCAGATGGACTAGCCCTGCCAATGACGTAACTATTAAAAAACATTACGATTAATTGAAAAAGAATTTCATGAGTATAAACTTAGACAACATTAAGAACCTCGGATTATAAAACACGGTAAAACAGCTATTAGTCGCTGCAGCATGGGCAGCAGCAGCAAGAAGTCCAATGTGCATGCTATCACTGGATAGAACCGATGATGGCATTACAGTTTGTGGTCTATTGGCACGGCGGATTCCCAAAAGAAGCTGATTCTTCTCATTCCTAAATGTAAAAATACATAGGAAAGGCAAAAAAGAATCAATCTCCAGCTTTCATGGGGGAAAGAAAATATCACTTCAAGAGGTTAAAGTACCAAATGAAAAGCACAGAATCTCCAGCCACGAGTCTCTTGGCACTAACAAATATACTCCAGCCTGTAGTAAGAAGGTGTCGTTTCGGCTGTCCTGCAATTATATGAATGCAACATATTGTGCGCTTGTGCTCATGTATAAGTAGTAAAATTAATAATGACACTAGTACGCATTTCCAATTTTAACAGCTGTGTTTTTAAAGTTTAATGCTACTGTTAAAGTAGAATAATTGACTCAAACCAAAAAATATACAGGCAAATTCATGACATAAATAAGTCAAGGAAATGAAAAAATAAATCGTTTGAAAGTAAATGATCATTACATTTACTGGCCTATTCTCTTGCATGGAACAACTAGCAATTACCAAAATACTAAGAAGAGGATTGAGATATGGTCATGGAAGTTGTATTGATACAGTTGATGGTTTGCATGCACATCAGTTAAATTTGTGAAATATACAGAAGAAGAAAAATCTAGCAAGTAGTAAGCAAAACATATTTAACACGAGTACACACAGTTGGCTTCCCATCTCTTATGCCATTTATGATAGGCTACATTAATCTTTAGTACTTCCCTGTACTCTTACAATGTTTTGAATAGGTCCCCCTTAATAGTTCCAAAATTATAAAGGAGTCATTGTAATTTCAAACATTTTTAATTAAGTGCTTGTAGGGACCTGACATAATCAAGATCAGGGACCACATTACAGTTTATAACATACAAGAACTTATTTAAAATCTACTGAAAAAAAGTATAAGGACTTTTCAGATTAAAAATTAGATCTGCTAGAGATGCTGACTACTAAAGTGCCTTGCCCCAAAGTCTAATGCGAGAGTCCCTAACAAGATCATACACTTGAATCGATAAAGAACTAGAATCCTACCCCGAAAAATATGCCGAAATTTCCATTCAACATCATGGAGATCCCTGGCAATCAGTTCCTGTGCTGGTGGCTGCTGTGAGAAATCCTGTATGGCGCACAGATATAAGATAAATGCATCTATCCCAACAAGAACCAAACACAAATTTAAAATATGAACATTACCAGTGGAGGGAAAACTTTCTCAGCAGCACGACGAGGAACAGAGAATCCTCCATGTGTACTGGTATCACTGGCTGTTAATGTCTTGCAAAAATAATTTGATGGCTGCTTACTGGGAATGCCCAATTCCATAGGAAGAAATGTATCTTTCTGCTCTTGCTACATCCAAAGTTAAAAAAGAAAGCTCAGTAGCAGAATCATAGAGGTTCATAACTCATACACTGAGCTCATCAAAGAACAACAGGATACCGGAGTCAACGGCTGCAATGTCATTTGAGCATACACTTCATCCGTTTCAACATCTGCCTGAAAATTAACACATGTGCAGTTCACTGAGTTTACTCTTAACAGTAGGCAGCCATAGCTCAATCATGATACATAACTAAAAGGAAAACATAGTATACCCACATGCATTGTAACATTGTGCAGTTGACAAATTAACTGGGGTGGCAAGCTCGGGTAATTGGGAATGTGTCCATCAATTTCTCTGTTAGTTGTGGCAGCAACCTGGAATCAATATTTGACATATCCATCTCAATTTCTATTTATAGAATCATTTGAATTGGTTTCAATTCAAGTTTACATGAAACACTCTATTTCTTCTGTATTATGCAAATTGACGCAATCTAGAGTAGAGTAAGTAGTCAAAAAAAGAAACAAAAACCTGCTCACTATGACCCTGAGGGAAGTAAACCACACGAGTCCCTGCAGTTGGTAGGGACACCAGGGGCCCCGCGCATGCATGCCATAGCTCAGAATTCAGACACTTCTTCTCCCCTACTAACCATCATTACTCACACATCAATCAAATTATCAAAAAGGGAAAAGGAAAACAAAAAACTCACAAGCATGTTCAAGCAACACAAAAGGGGTATGAAAGGGACACCTTACATTTATATACAACTATGACAAGAAGCCACACTAAGAGCACAGAATGTTAGCTCAATTTAACAAATAATAAAAAGGTAAAAAGAGAGAATTGGAATAGAATGGATACCTTCTAATCCCTGCTGCCCCAAACCTGATGTTGAAAGCTTCATATCATCAAGCTTTACCTTCTTTTATTTTTCTCTTTTACACAAAGACACTAGTATACCAATCAACCAATCACACATGAAACCCTAGCTCAAAGCCACTAGCCTCAATTTGCTTCAAGCCATTGCATAAGCAAGCATCCCCAACAACACCCTCGTCCTCCAACATGATGCCAATGCACTCACTCCATAGAGTGCGCACATAAAACCCAACAATCTAAAACAATCAAACGAAGCCCAAATCCAAAGACCACAACATCCCAACAAATTCACAACCACTCTAGAACCCCAGAACACAAAACCACCCCTGCAGACTCCAACAACAACAAAGTTTTCTTTTTTAAAATTTTTATTTTGCTCCTCTTTTAGCAAATTTCAAAGCAGAAAGCAAACCCAATTGGAGTGAACTGCAGCAACGGTGGCACGTTCCCCGAGATCGCCATGAAAGCTGAGAATGAAGTGTGATGTTGAAACTAAAGGCTCTCTTTTGTGGCCTATCACTTTCGATGGAGACCCAAGTCAGGATTTTTTGGCTTTGAACCAATGCAGAGATAGAGAGTGTGATGAGAGAGGAGAGAGAAAATGACAGAGAGAGAAAAATAAAAGAAGAGTCTTTGCCATATATAAGGGGGTCCCGACCAAGCTGGACATGCTGCAGTAGAGAGAGAAAGCGTAGGAGAGAGAAAATCCATGTTATAGTGTTATGGGCGGATGAAACCATCTCAGCCGTTGGATCATCCGTACGTGAAAAATCTGGACCGTTGTTCGGAGTGATGTGACAGCAAGCATGTGCCACCATCCTTCACAGGTCGCTGTCAGAAGTACGGAGTATATAGAGGAAAATATTAGTACCATAAAATAATTGTTATTTTAAACTATATTGTTTTTTTATTTTTAAAATATCTGTGTAAGCGCGTGCTCCGCAAATGGATGTGAAGGGTAATAAGTAGAAGAAAAAGTTAAAAGCAAAGAGATTATCATCACCCAAAGCAAAAGCAAATTGGTCGTCCATACAATTTCGCTTCATCTTTCATCTAGATAAGGTAAGGTAAGGCTCTTTACCTTCTTCTACTTTCTACTATTTCATCACTTCCATTTTTGTTTTCTCTTATTTTCTCTTCAACATTCCAAACTCCCTTCATGAAATCAACCAACTTTGCATTCAATTTGTTATGGGTCAATTTTATTTCTTCATTCAACCCTTCTTCGTTACATGTTGTTTTCATCATTAAAAAGACATGGTACTAAATCATATAAAATTGCCTTTCTGAACATAAATCAGGAATAAAACAATTCATGTGAAGTAATAAATACGGTGGATGTTTTCAGGAGTTAGTTCCCTTTGCAATGGAGTTAAGATCATTGATTTTGCAACCAAACTTGTCGCACTTGTTTCCAACATTCACATGCTGTGTTAAACTCAAACCTTCTTTCCGGCATTTACAGCAGAAGGAATTATCATTGAAATTCACCAGAAGGGTGGGATTTTTGGCAATCATAACCCCCTTGATTTTGGGTGGAGAAGATATTTTTAGTACACAAAATGCAAATGCATTTGATTTTAGATTTGTGGCCCCTGACATGACAGCTGAAGAGGCCCTGCGTGGTGTGAGAAATCATGCACAAGATTTGTTACAAGTTAAAGAATTGTTAGAGTCAGAATCGTGGACAGAAGCACAAAGATATCTAAGACAGAGCTCAGCAGTTCTCAAGAAAGACATATATATCATAATCCAGAGCAAGCCTGGAATTGAGAGGCCAGAACTAAGGAAGCTTTATTCCGCTCTCTTCAACAATGTAACTAGAGTAAGTGTTACAACATGCCCATTTTCAGCTGCATTTTCAATTTCATAACCATAAATGTGTCAGAGATATGTATTCATTGTCTGGTTTCTTGTTGCTCATTAATTAGAGAAAGCAATGTGCATGATCCTTAATCGATTGAACTATACAACTTATACTTAGAAGAATCTAATTGGTAAATTGATACTTGATATTCAAGTTTGCTTTTGGATTTTGCATTGAAACTCTGTCAGATAGCTTCTTGACTAAAAAATAATTGTTCTTTTTTGTGTGAAAATGTGATCGATTGACAAGATTCATGTATGGTGAAAACATTGCAGCTAGATTATGCAGCAAGGGGTAGAGATGGACCACAAGTGTGGCAGTGTTATGAGAACATTGTTGTGGCTGTCAATGACATTATATCCAGATTATAGTGTTCACTGTAGACTTTTGAAAATGGAGGATTGAACTGCTCTTGATAAGTTTATGCGAACAGTTACCAACATTGCTTGCTGCAAGAAGTGGAGTAATGAAGAAGAAGAACCCTGTTATATACAATTATAGATCATGGGTTTGAACGTGAAGAGTAAAATTATTGAATGTTTGATTATATTTGACACTAAGATGTTCAATTTTGATACAGAACTTCTATAAGATGGATTTTTTAATTGTTGAAGATAAAACTTTGCCTTTTTTCTGTCAAAGTTTATCTAGATAAAAAGACTATTTCAAAAATTGTCTCAAATATTTTTTATTAAAAAATTACTATGTATTAGATTGTTTATTTATCTTTTGTTAATATTGAACTTCTTTTATCTAAAGAGTCAATTGTATTACTTTGTCTTATTTAAAATAGGATATTAGTTTTGTTCACAAATATCCTCATATAATGTGAATGAGTCAAACACATCTATTATGAAAACTATCATAAAATTAATCTTTTAATAGACTTAAGTTATACCGTATTTTTATGGAGTTCAAACCAAACTACTTTTGCATTGGAGTAGGCATATTCTAGAAAGAATAAAAAAACATCATAAAAATATTAAATTTTCCTTACTAAAATAATATGGAATAACAAAAAAATAGATGCACATTAATAAGTGTTTCCCTTAGTCAATATAATTAATGTCCATGTATCATAAATCAATACCTAACATGCTTCAAAAGATATATACTAAAATTTGTAGAATTTTTCATACATAGTAATTTAAATTTTAATGTTAATCATTAATGTACAATGTTAGAAATTTAAATATAGATTGAAAGTATCTCTTTAATAAAAAATTGGACAATAATAACAAATACAAGAATTAAAAAATTAGCAACTCTATTTGAAATTTTGAGTTAAAGATAATATATTTTTTTTATAGTTAATGGATGTTAAATCTTCTCATAATACTCTTTCTTCATTTACTAATAAAGGCCTGACAAGTTGTATATTTCATGCACATGTAAACATTTTCTAATGTTGATTAAAAATAATTCCTAAATACAATATTGAAATATATATATATATATATATATATATATATATATATATATATATATATATATATGTACATGAATAATGTATTAATTATATTTTCAACTTTGAACAAATTTATTGTGATAAAGTATTACTTTCTACTTTTAAGGAAAAGATAATCATTTATAGAAAATAGATTGTACTGGGAAAAGATAATCATTTATAGAAAATAGATTGTATGGCCAAATATGTACTAAATCATTCCACACAAACAACTAAAGATTATAAAGGATGAATATATAGTGTGAAGAGAATAAAAGAATACTATATTCGTATTATTTTGTCTTAGAATTATCATTTAACTTGAATTTCGACGTACTCAATGACAATAATGGTATAAAGAGTTTAACTTGAACATTATTACACTATCTTATAATGTAACATATTTTAGAAAGTGATTTTAAACCTAACTCAATTTCACAAAACCGGTTTGTAAGACGAGATTTACACCCCATTTATATATTATAATTTGGTTTTATCTATAGTCGATGTAAAACTTCCAACCACATCACAAATCCACGATTATGACAAATGTTAATAAAAACTTTTAAAAAAAAAGTTGTTGACATTGTATGAGATATCCAATAAAAGATACTTTTTATTTATCTGTAGCATCAGTGTATTATTATTATTATTTAACTTTTCTTTTGGCATGGTTAATGAAAGATGTTCACATATTGTAAAGTGTGATTTTTCTAACTCTAATTTAATTGTATATCTTTCCTAAAAGTAAATTAATTTTTAATAATTTAAAATAAAAAATAATCTTTTTTATTTTATTTTTAATACTAGTTTAGATACTTCAAATAATATAATTTATTTTATTAAATATATTACATTAATTAAATATAATTAAATTATGTATCATCCCATATTATATAGAAACATATAATATAATATAATAAGTCCACATTTTAATATAAGAGAACAATGAGAAGTAGACTGTAAGTAAAATATTAAAGTTACAGTCATCCCAAAATAGGTCCTAATTTAGAAATTTAAGTACTAAAGAGTAATTCAAAATACATGAAATAACTACAAAAATCCTAAGGAGACTAGGCTGCAACATCATCTTCCTCCAAAATCTGCTCCAAAGGCACCTCATCCACCTCTGCTCTCATCCACCTCTGCTCACATCCAAATGGATGATCATTGCAAAAAAAAAGCATACCCAAAAAAAACACAAACACAAAAGCAAGGGTGAGCTAGATATTCAAAAATCATGTTATAACAGTCATAGACAAGATACAAGTAAGGACATATACACTACACAACACAAACATGACTTGGTGCACTTTAAACTTGACTCGTTCGGACTTAGAATGATTGTCGAACTATGGCGGGTCATGCACTCGTGGTGGCTTTTACTGCTTTGCAAAGCCGTTGCCAATGGGTTTCACCCTACCACACTCACGAGGTTAGTCTGTTATCACTCACCTTGGGTCATACTGGAAGCACCCAAGACTAGGACCTCCTACTACTACTCACGACATGGTTCAATCCCCTCTACTTGAGAATGATTGACCATTGTAGTTTCAAGATAACCCCCAAGACTGAGCTTCCATGCAAATCATTCTAAACACACTAAAAGGGCACCACCATGTATCCCTCCCTTGAGAATCATGAAATTATGTCCAATACTGATACTTTTCACTTTCAACACAACAATACATCATACCTTCACATACTTTCAATTTAACCACATTACAACAATCACACTTTACACGGAAATCATCACACACACTTAATTTACCCAAAACAATAGGAGCTTTGGCCGAGCACTTAGAGATTTGGCCGAACACTATGAGCTTTGGCCGAGCACTTAGAGCTTTGGCCGAATGTTATGAGCTTTGGTCGAGCACTTAGAGCTTTGGCCGAACGCTATGAGCTTTGGTCGAACACTTAGAGCTTTGGCCGAGCACTTAGAGTTTTGGCCGAACACTTACAGCTTTGAGACCGAGTGCCAGTAAGAGACCGAACACTCATTAAGAGACTGAGTGCCAGTACAAGACCGAACACTCTTTAAGAAACCGAGTGTCAGTACAAGACTGGACACTCTTTAAGAGACCAAGTGCCAGTACAAGACCGAACGCTCTTTAAGAAACCGAGTGTCAGTACAAGATCGAACACTCTTTAAGAGACCGAGTGCCAGTACAAGACCGAACGCTCTTTAAGAGACCGAACGGTCATGAACTGGTAAGACTCAAAAGAGACCAACCCAGTTATAACCGAGAGCAGCATAAGACCGAACGGTCAACTGTAGTGTTCTGCATAAGTTTGCAGAATTCCGAACAAAACCCAACATGACCATTTCTAACCATTTTTACTAACTTCTAACACCCTTAATTCTTGTTTTATACTTAATTAAACTTATCTAAATGATTATAAACATTCATACTACAATTCTAAAGTGATTAAGACTCAACTTCAACTCTAAAACACCAATTTTCCCAACTTAGGGATCCAAAACCCAATCCTATTGCTTTGCACCTATTTTGATCAATTTAGTGACTCAAACAAGTCACAATACACTAGCTAAGATTGCCCCAATAGCCCAATTGCGCTTTAGGCCCCAAATGCCCAAAATCACTACCTCACTTCCCCCAATTTGCCCTAAAACACCAAAATTTTACTTAACTTTCCATTTCATTCAAGCTATAACAGATATATCACTCCAAGCACTTCCAACACGCCCAATTACAACAACTAGATTCAACCAATGCAATTTACAAACCTCACGCTACAATTTCATACATCACACGCGTCAACATATATGACCTACTTACTTTAGAGCTTAAACAAGCAAACCAAACAGCACACCCATTAAGGAATTTAACATACATACAAATACTGCAAGCAAATTGAAAACAATATCTAGCTCCCCTTACCTTAGGGTTTCACAACTAAGCTCACAACTTGATTCGAATAGTGCCTCACACAGCAAGAACTCAACCAAACCCCGCTGAAGAACGAGAATCTAATCGGATGGTTGTGAAGCTCTCTGCGCCGCGGTCACTTGAGCACCACCTAATCAAACATGTAATGGCTGAATGTGAAGGAATGGTAGAGAGAAGACAGAGAGAATGTGAAACAACTTTTTAGGGGGAGAGAGAGAGTGTGGTTTTAGAAGAAGTGAGCAGAATTTGGTAAAGTTGCTAAGTTGTACGCTTTTCAGAATAAAAGAAAAAGCTCTTCTCTTCATTTTAATCCTTTTCTTTGTTATTTAATATATATATATATATATATATATATATATAAATAAATAAAAAAGTAAAGACAAATTTTATTTCAAATTGATTGTGTATAATTAATGATGTTTAAAATTCACTTTTAAAAAGTTATTTTCTTTTGATTCAATAGTATTTTTCATCTCAAGTTTTGTTAGAATTCTTCAATGAGGTCTTTTTTTTAATATAGTTCTTATTTTTGTTAATAAAAGTTAATGTGATTTTGTTTTTAAATTGGTGTTGACAAATTAGATAGTAGTGATAATGTAATAATGTAAATGACACATGACATATAAATAATCGGTGTTAGTCACCTTAAATATTTAGAACAACCATGTGTCATTTATACTCTGATATTATTAATTAATATTTAAATAATGCCATCATCATTAATTAAACATAAATTAAAAAAAATAGATTCATTAAATAATTTCAGTAAAAACTAGCACGAAGCAACTATTGTACCTTTCATTTAAATAAAAATTGAAATAAATAAATAAACAAAACCAAACCTATAAAAGAAACATTAAATTAATTTGTAGTAGTGTAGTTTTTGTTTTCTGACCTAAGAAAACAAAGGGGGTGTGGTGAAAAGAAGTCAAACGTAGGATCTTTGTCTTGTTTGTGGGTCACTGAAACCAAACCCTTGCAATGTTTATGACAATTTTTTAATGAAAAGAATATAAAAGCATTAAAGTTGTTGAAAATTCCTTCCAAGTGTGCAGAGAAACAGTGAATTTTTAGAATAGTTTGAAGTGTGAAAATTGTAAGAGCAAGCATGGCGGGGAAGAAAGTTGTCGTGACTGTGTGAGACATGAATAGGCTGATTTTGTTGGCTTAGAAATTAGTGTGATCTTTGCATTCTAACTATTTGGTTTTATGTTGTTTGTGTGACATTAACAAGAATAATTGAGTTTTGTACTTTTGTAATCTTTTGACATTGATAAGGTTTTGTCGATAGGAGACAAACACGACTAGGTTTTTTTTCTCACTAACAATGAAACATCCAACTCAATTCACATCTTCCAAATTAGTGGAGATGTTTGTGTTGTGGGGTTTTCAGTTAATCATAGTTAATAAGAGTTAAAGGCATGTTAATGAATCTTCTATTATACTTTTTTATATTTTAAGAGCCAAAAAGAAAATAAAAAAGGAAAGGCACTAATTGCGTAACGTCATGAAAAGGAGAAAAAAATAATTATAGTGAAATTAAACTATGATTAGTGATGTGGAAGATGGTAGAAAGCTTCAAACTTTGATTAGTATAATATATATATATATATATATATATATATATATATACTAATAAATAGATACTGATCGAGATTAATCGTTCGAAAAATAATAGGTGTTTATCCGGTCAATATTTAGATTTAATAGAATTAAATAATGAATAAGTCAACTGTAATGATAAATTCATTAAAAGTCTATAAATATATGTCAATGTCAAAAATATGGTTGTTAGAAAACATTTATTATATTAACTATTAAACTGATCAAATACTAACTAATTTAAATATCGAAATATTCTTACCCATACACTCGATTAATTAAACAGTAAAAAAGAAATAAAAAAGAATAAAATGTTTTAAATAAATACTCAATCCCACGTGAATCAATTAATAATTTCCTTGTTTCTCTCATTTATCTTCAACACGCATAAAAAGGAAAAAAATTGTAGTGAAATTAAACTGGGAACATTTCTTATACTCTTTTTTAAAAGACGAGAGATCTTATTATAATTTTGAATAGGCTAATGGATCAGGCTCAATTGGTGATAAACTTATAACCCAACCCAATTGAAAAATCTTGAATCAGATTAGGTCAGCCTTTTACAATTTTCTTTTCATTAGATCCAAATCACTAATAATTGATTTGGATTGAATTAGGTCCATTAGTTCAATATTTTAACATTTTTTTCTTAAGTTTGTAATTTAAAAATTTGTTATATTTTTTATGATAATTTATATAAAAGTTGACTTGTTATTTAATATTTGAAATTTTTAATATTTAAAACATTATGTAATTAACAAAATAATAAAATAAATTGAATAATAATTATATTTTTATTATAGTTACATAAACAATATTAATATTGGTAGTTGGAACAGGTTTTTCTTTCAAAAAAGGATTTTAAGACATATTATATCGTTTTAAAACACTTGGTAAATTTATTAATAATTATGTAATTTTTTTGTTGGTATGGGGAATGCAATTTTTAACGAGAAGTTTGAACGCTATTTGCAACCTTGTCTGAAAGGGAGTGGCCAAACATGAATTGAATTGAATAACTAACATTTCTAAGACAGAAATAAAATAAATAACTTGTATAAATTATATGAGGCATGGGTCCTTTATAAACAATTAACAAATCTCGTGGCAAATTATTTTTATTAAAATTTTAAATTTAATTAGAAGAGTTGTCACGATAATATTTTTTAATCAGACTTATGAAACCGTCTAAAACTAATATTTATGGGCCAAGTAATGGAATATATATACAGGGCTTGCTAACGCGCGTACGTCTGTTTTTCAGTTGGTACATTTTAGTAATGTGTATCGAATTTTAGTAGACAAAAATACCCTTATATATTGTGGATTCAAGTTTTAAGGTTAAGGGTATTTTAATAATTTTCATTCTCAAAACTTAAAAAAAAAAAAGAAACACCCTCCAATCCTCTCATTCCTCTCAATCCTTTCTCTTTCATTTCTCTCACTCCAACCTTTTCTCTGTCATCCCGTAGCCCTAATTGAAAAAATCAGAAACACTTGTCTTTAAACAATTTGTCTTTCTAAAGAGTTGAGTCATTGACATATTCACCTTGAGGCAAAGGTTCATTCAAGATCTCTTCAATTTCACCATCTTCACTAATTTCCTAATTTCATCATCTGCATATGTTGAATCATCATCTCTAAAAAAAACCCTCCAGGCCAATTACCAATTCTTTCGGATGTCATTATGCTTGTGAAAATTAGATAAAATTAGATAAGACAAAAATTATAAAATAAAAACTCATTATAAAATCATTTTTTGTAAGAAATTGTTTAACAACAAGTATTTCTGATTTTTTCCAGGTCAATTACCAATTCCTTTATGCTTGTGAAAATTGGATAAAATTAGATAAGACAAAAATTATAAAATCAAAACTCATTATAAAATCATTTTTTTGTAAGATTGTTTAACGGCAAGTGTTTCTGATTTTTTTCAATTGGGGCTACAGTAGGGTGTTTCTGATTTTTTTCAATTCGAGCTACAGTAGGGATGACAGAGAAAAGATTGGAGTGAGAAAGATGAAAGAGAAAGGGTTGAGAGGTGAGTAAGGGTTTTGGGGTTTTTTTTTTTTTAGTTTTGAGAATGAAAATTATATTAAAATACCCTTAACCTTAGAACTTAGAATCCATGGTATATAAGGATATTTTTGTCTACTAAAATCCAGTACACATTGCTAAAATGTACCAACTGAAAAACAGGCGTACGCGCGTTAGCAAACCCATATATATATATATATATATATATATATATATATATATTATATTATATTATATTAATCTGATGCAATTGTTAAAGCATGACTATAAGTATATAATTATTTTTAGTATTACATGATTGATAAGGATGTTGAACGATTCTACTGATAATTGGGATATTCAATTCAATACCACATTCAGACAGCAATTTATTAATTTATTTGTAACCTATTAATAATTAATGAAAGAAATAAAAAAAATTATTTGTGTACGTTGGGAGAGAAAAAGATAGATTTAAAAATTATGATGATATCATTTTTTTTTTCTTTCCTCTACTCCGGCGAATATTTTCGCCAACAGAAATACTACTTTCATAAGTAACATTATTACTATAATTATGGTAATTATTATTTTTAAATTTTTTTTATTATATATCAATTTCAGATAACAATTAGGAGAAAATACAATGAAGGGTGCATAAAGTAATTGCAGAGCTACAAAAAGTAATTACGTTGTTCTTTTAAAAATAAAATCACGCACTTTCATTGGTTGAAATTGTTTTTCTTAACTGGATTTAGAGAATAAAAGGCTATTTCTTTCTGCACTTCCATAGTTTTAATGTGCACCTATAGAGTGGTTAAAACACCAAAATTTCCTTCATGACATTCATGATGTTATCTTACTTTTTCTCTTCTTCATAATTTTTTCTTCTTACTCCATTTCTGCTGCTTTAGACCCACCGTTGAGACAAACTACCTTAACCACGTCACTCTTATTGTTGAGGTTTATTCTTTGAAAAGAAAAAAATCATTTGCTGCTATTTTATTTTAAGTTTTCAAATTACATAATTCAAAATTTATTTTTTCAAAAGTTGAACGTATTTTAAATTGTATAATCTAAAATTTATTTTTAATTTAAAATTATATTTTAAAAATTAAATATATCCAAAATAGACATTAAATCGATCAATTAACATAATCCAAAATAAACACTAAATCAATCAATTAACCTTGAAAGTTAAACATCGAGTCAATCAATTAATATCTATCTGACATTAGATTAGGATTATTATTATCATACTCTAATTAATATTTATGCAAAATTGTTATATTTATTTCTGTATAGAAAGATGATGTAAACAAATTTAGCATTTTCTGATAGAGATACGGTATGAACAAATAATATTAAATAATTATGTCTTTTTACTCACCATATATTAACATCCGCCGCCGTGTATAGATATTTATTTACTAAGTAATCAATCATATTTCCAAGTCCTAAAAGGAATTCTTTGTCCTAAGATCAGCACATACTAAATTTGTGTATATCTCTCTCTACGTGGATAAACTTCTATATCCTCATAGTAATTTTTATCACACTGCTACTTATTATCATTTTCTAAATTTCTTAGCATCATTTCAGCACTATGTTTGATAGGGTATTTGAAGACGCAACCTCGCAAACGCCAATCAGAAAACGATTAACTGTACCAAAAAACACCAATCGTCGACAACGATGTCAATGCTGTCCTGTCCCCACCAACAACATCAACACGTAGAATCTTTTTCTTTCTTCATTCTTATAATGGACCCTTTTTATTCTCCGATTCACACATAAAAAACACCATATAAAGTTTGTAACCTTTTTGGTTCTTGTTGTGTTGGTTTTCTTGGATCACGAACATGGTGGTGCGAGTGCATCTCAGTTCCCTCCTACCCTTAACTGTGTTGATCTTATTATGGAGCCTTGAGGGTGCCCTAGGAGACCCTCAGATTCTTCTGCTCAACAAAGGTTGCAGCCAATACAACGCCACGGATTTGTCCACTTTCAATCAAAATCTCAACGCAACTTTGAATGATCTCAGAGTTCAAGTTACCAACCAAAGCAAGCACTTTGCCACGGCTCAAGAAGCCAGAGGACAAGACCCTGTCTATGCCATGTTCCAATGTAGAAACTACCTCTCTACCACTGACTGCGCCGCCTGCTTCGCCGCCGCCGCCGCCCAAATCCGCAACTGCTCCGCCGGGGCTAACGGTGCCCGTGTCATCTATGACGGTTGCTTCCTCAGGTACACCTTCACCTTCACCACCTCTATACATCACTGTTTCTTTCTTCATATCGCAGTGTTATTATTCTATGAAAGATTGTTTTATTAATAAAACAATCTTTTTTTAATTATATCTATATATCAAAACATTTTATTAATTATTATACTATTGAAGAAATTCTATAGATATTTTTTTTATGGAGAATAATGGAAATATAATGATTTGATAATTGTCGTGTCTGTGATGGAATTCCAATGTTTGGACTTTTGAGATTGCGTCCATGTTGTCATGTATGGTTTCTACTGTTTTAATAATGTAAACAGACTAAATTTTAAACATGATTTGACAAAACTTTAATTAAAAAATTAGTGAAGAATTTTTTGTTGGTTTAGTCATGAGTCGTGGTTCAGCATTAGCTAGCTGAAGAGATAAAAAAAGGTTTGTGGTCTGAATTTGGCTTCACACCCAAATAAAATTAAATCTGAATTATATGTAAATAAGTTATACGCAAATAATTGTATATAGTTTGGGATGTAATTAAAATTAATACAAAAATGCATACAATAGAGAAATTTATCAATATAAAAGCAATTAATACAAAAATGCCTTTTTGTTAATTTTGTTCAAGAGATAAGTTCAAACAAATTTGTTAGAAAATGTATTACGAGTGTTTGTTTTTTTAGGTAATTTTCAGTTTATTAGTTTCTCAATTTTTTTAATAAATATAATTGAACTTATGAATTACTTTTTTCATTCTTGAGAAAAAATGAGCGAGTTTTTGTTACATTTTCCCATGTAAATGATGAAAAAATATAAAATATAAATGCTAGTTGACTTTTTGGCATGATTAATAATGAGAAATGAGATGATATATTTCCTTTATGTCACTAGCTTGCATAAGTCGACAACAAGAACAGGGTTAATCTTATTCGAATTATAAATTATTTATTCAATACTATTTTTCTTTCTTTCCTTCTTCATTATTTTATCTTATATATATATATATATATATATATATATATATATCCCTTATTTTCCTATTTCTGTCTCTACCATAAACTAGTTGTATACATGTATTTCTTTTTTCATGTTATTTTAATGTACTTTTAAGTTATCTAAACATGCTAACAGAAAAAAAAATATAGAATTTCTTATTATTTTTCTCATTTTCCTAATCTCGTAAAATATTAATAAAATTTTCAATACAGCAGAATAATGATGTATAGACTTCAAAAAAATGAAGATAAAAGCATTAAGAATAAGATTTATATAATGAAATAACTAAAGTCAAAGTTACACGTTTCTATCTCTTATAATTTATTTCAAAATAATCAATAATTCATATAGTTGTCCTAAATACAGAATTTTTTGCTTCTACATTGTTACAGTATATCACTGTTCTAGTATGAACCATTAATTAGGAGTTTAATACTACTATTTTTTAAATGGTGGCTACAAGATCATTGAGTTGACTCTACCGTGATCTTTGGTTAATGTCATGAAAAACACGACCCATTTCTTAAAACTAAATCATAAAATAATACAATATAGTATGTACATACATTCGTTAAAATGCTATTGGTCTGTGAGTTGACCGATATAGAGTGATGTACACTTGTTAAACATAGATATTGAAAGATTTTATTCTTATTTATTAGAAGAAATAAATATAAAAATGTCATTTAAGCTTTTGTTTATAGAAATTCTTTAATTTTGTATTTTAAATAAGTAACTTTGATGTTTCATACTTTTAAATGTGTTGTTGAGGTATGAGAGCGCCGGCTTCTTTGACCAGACAACTTTGGCTGGGAACAGTATGATGTGTGGAAATCAGACAGCAGTTGGAGCCACTGATTTGAATACAACTGCACAGCAAGTGCTGAAGGATCTGCAAATTGCAACCCCCAAAATCACTGGTTTCTTTGCAGCTACCAAGACTCAACTGGCTGGTGCTGCAATCTATGCCATTGCACAGTGTGCTCAAACTGTATCGGAGAGTGGTTGTCTGGATTGCCTCACAGTTGGATACAACAACATTGAAGTTTGTTTACCCAATACAGAAGGCAGAGCATTTGATGCTGGATGTTTTATGAGATACTCAGAGACAGCCTTTTTTGCTGATAACCAGACAATCGATATCACACCCTTCTTGCAACAAGGTAGAGTTAAGGATAATTTCTTTACATTGATTTTTATATACAAGGTTGAATGAATGATAGTGGTGAAGGAAATCCAAGAAATGTACCTTTTTAACTGCCTTTTTATCTTGCAGGGAGTTCAAGCAAAAAGGGAGCCATTATTGGTGGGGTTGTTGGAGGTGTGGCTTTGATTGTGATCCTCCTTGCACTAATTGCCTTGCTAAGATGGTACAAGAAACCCAAGAAGGTTCGAAGAGGTAAGACAATTCGGATAACCTTTGAATTTATGATTTCTTCTATGTTTGGTTTGACTTTTATCACAGTATGGTATAGTATAGAAGTTAACAAACTTATCATATATTATAATTTATGATTGACGGCAGAGTAAAATAGCATACTGATGGAGTTGAATTTGTACTGATAACTCCTTTAGCAAAATAACATAAAATTTCTGTTTCTATGATGAATAATTGGATCCATTTTGTCACTGAGATATTCCAAATTTTCGTTTCCTTGTCAGGTGACATATTGGGAGCAACTGACTTGAAAGGTCCAGTGTCCTACAGGTATAAGGATTTGAAGGCTGCAACAAAAAATTTCAGTGAGGAAAATAAACTGGGAGAAGGAGGTTTTGGAGATGTATACAAGGTAATTTCAACATTTTTTTTTATTGGTTTACATGTTTAAAAACAAGCACGATTCGTTCTGAGAAAGGTAATATCAAGAAGAGAGAAAGTTTATTAACTCGGGAGACAAAGATAAATCACTTTTTAAAACTGTTGCTGAAATCACAATTCATGGACCAGGGCACTTTGAAAAATGGGAAGATAGTTGCAGTGAAGAAATTAATTTTAGGCCCATCAGGGAAGATCGATGATCAATTTGAAAGTGAAGTGAAGCTTATAAGCAATGTTCATCACAGGAATCTGGTTCGACTCCTTGGATGTTGCAGCAAAGGCCAAGAAAGAATCCTTGTTTATGAATACATGGCAAATAAAAGCTTGGATAGATTCTTATTCGGTAAAACTCATGTCAATCTCCTGATTGAAGCATTTTGTGAGTCTCTGTTCCTCCTCTTTACTCAATCTATTTGTTAAAATTTTCAAAACAGGTGAAGTAAAGGATCCCCTCAACTGGAAACAAAGATATGATATAATTTTAGGCACAGCAAAGGGTTTGGCCTATCTGCATGAGGATTTCCACGTTTGCATCATACACAGGGATATAAAGACTAGCAATATCCTCTTGGATGATGAAATGCAACCAAGAATTGCTGATTTTGGGTTGGCAAGACTTCTACCAGAGGACCAATCTCATCTCAGTACAAGATTTGCAGGAACATTGTAAGACCAAATGTTTGTTTCTTAGATGTCTTTTACATTATTTTTCTTGGATGTTTCCATTTCATGGTATGTGTGAATAGACATTCTTCCATTGTTGATGCTATGAAAATTATATACATGTCAGAGGATACACAGCACCTGAGTATGCACTCCATGGTCAGTTATCAGAGAAGGCCGATGCCTACAGCTTTGGTGTTGTACTCCTAGAAATCGTAAGTGGCCAAAAGAATAGTGAATTGAGGACAGATGCTAATGGTGAATTCCTCCTTCAAAGGGTAAGCAATTTCACATGACCCTATAAGAAAATTTTCAACTTTATTTTATTGACGTACAAACAATGTCCAGTGTTTATCATATTACCTTAAAAGTTGTATTTACATGAAACACTGATATGAAACTCTTTGAAATACCAGGCTTGGAAACTGTACGAGGAAGACAGGCATTTGGAGTTGGTTGACAAGAAATTGGATGGTGAAGAGTACGACGTAGAAGAAGTGAAGAAGGTGATGGAGATTGCTTTGCTTTGCATTCAAGCATCAGCTGGTGCAAGACCAACAATGTCTGAAGTAGTAGCCTCACTCAAAGGCAATAATTCACTGGGGCAAAATAGGCCCTCTATGCCTGTATTTGTTGAATCTAACTTCAGGACTCGGCCAGCTGACATCTCTACCTCAACTGCTTCCTCTACTTCTAATGCTACTGCTTCCATTTCTACGCTCTCAGCTCGATGAACATATCTTACGTGAAGGAATTACTGTTTCAAAATAAGGGGATTTTTCTTCCATAATTCTTCGACTATTGTTGCTCAGTAAATTGTCAAGTAGTGATTGATGTGAAGTTGATGAATTAGCCACTTTGTAGAACCGAACCATTAATTTTGCATTTTCTTCTAAGTTATAGTTTGGATATTTTGTATGCATAAGGAGATAGAATTTTCACAATGTCTACAAAAAGTGTTGAAATTCTTTACTAAGTGTGCCACTATGAAGTGGGTAGCTTTACATGAGCCAATAAGCAACGTTATCGTTGTTGACTACATACACTTTCCATCTCAACCATTTGCACTGAGTTAGCATCATTATTACTCCTCCACCATATCCCACAGTCATTCCTCTACATAGTGTATATGGTATCCTTAATCAATTCAATTACAAAATGAGATTAATATTCTGTATATTAATTAACTTTTATATCAATACTAAAAATTTCAAAAATATTAAAATATAATTACTGTTATTACAGCACCTCCGTTACCACGCTCACTTTAAAATTCTGTTTCATCACCACTTTTATAATTATACTTGTATTATTACCGTAATCATGAATTGGAGTTTATCGTACCCTTATAACAATAGATAAAAATTATGCTTACATCAGTAATCACAATGAATGATTCTTGAATAATATATATAAAATTAAAATTAATTTATAAAGGCTTGAGTAAGGCGAGAAAAAAAAAGAGTCTAAACTATTTAAAATATATTAAGTGGTGTATTAATAATGGATCCACTATTTTTTTTAATTTTGCAGTTCAAAAAAAAAAACCAACACATTATCTTTAAACACCAAAATTCATGCAAGATAATCAAAATAAATGGTTAACTGAGACTACAATTAATAGAAAAACACAAAAATAGATTTATAAATCGTAGAAATGCACTATTTTAACAAAAAGTTAAAAACTCTACTGAATTAGATAAAGTGTTAGAGATTTTACTTTATAAAATGTTAATAACAATGAATCAAACATAATTTCAAAACAAAACACAAAACACAAACATTCAAGAATATTTAAGAATTTTTTTAATATGACAAAAAAATAAGATAAAAGATGATATTTTAATCCAATAAGCAAATAATATGACTCCAAAATCCAAATACAAATGCAAATAGTATGACTCCAAAATATTTAGATCTACTTCTATATATAGACACATAAGTTTAAGAAAACATATAAACCATAAAATACAGTCCAAAGTCCAAAACACATAAAATTAATAAAAAATAAAAGTTGTAATGGCAGAGACCCGCTCATCCAGTGAATACAAACTAATTCACCTAGTCAATTTAACATTACGTAAATTACAATTTATTTAATTTCTTAAATTATTTTTCAATTGTGTCATGTTATTTAAGTTTCCTCACTTAAACTTTATAAGATTTAATTAATCAAGTTTTAACCTTTAATCTTGTTATAAATAATTTCAATTCTAAATGTTATTCCTTAAGTTATTCTCATATGTTCAAGAGATAACATTCTATCATATTTTCTTTCTAGAAAATAATTTGTTCCCAAATTCATACCACTGGAAGATTTTTTATCATATTGTTTATGAAAATGTAAATGAAATTTATTCCTACAAATTCCTTTTAATTTAGTTTCATTTTTCTAACTTTAACATTTTTTTTAATTTTAAATAACAACTTCATTTTCATTTTAACATAATTTTCATTATTTACATTTAAATTTATATTACATTTATGTTCAAGGATAAAATGGAATCATCTAATTTTATCAATTAAAATATTTTTTAATATATCATACACCCATCATATCATACACAAATTTTTACAAACTTTAATCTCAAATCACACCATCTTTCCATTAATCTAAATAACACCGTAATGTTCTCTCCATCTTCTCAAATTTATCCATAGTGAATTATTATCTTTAATTTCTTGAACTAATATGAGTTTATTTTATTAAATTTACAAGGAATTATAATTGAATAGAGAAGATTTAGGGTTCGCTAAAAGAAATTGGAAACTACTTTTTATGATAATGATTTATGACAATGAAGTAGAAAAAAATATTTATTTTTTAGCTTAATGAAATAAGAGAATAATATGGTCAGGTCTAATTCTAACAATATTTACATTATATTAGCTTTCTCATTTAAAAAATACAAAAATATTGTAGCGTTTAATTGCAACTTTTTTTAAGTTTTTTTGTTATTTAATTTTATTTTATGTTTACTTGTTTTATGTTTAGTAGTATAAAGTTAATATAGTTCTTCTCAGTATTACATCAAATTCTACGTTCTTACTTATTTTTAAAATTATAGTTAATAACGATGTGTTTTGTCACAAATATATTTAATTTTAAAAAAGATAATGATGTTTTGACACTAATTTTTTCTACTATCATTTGACACGATTTCTCATTACTATTTACTCTTTTTTTTTAAATACAAAAGTTAACTTTTGTTAAGATTGTTTGACTTTCGTAAAAGTTTTCAAATGTCAAATAATTTTTTTCCTTTAAAAAAACATATGTACCACAAAAAATCTATTATATATATATATATATATATATA